ATTCTTTGGGGATTTGTGGGGAATTTTGTGGGGAATTTTTGGGCAGAAATCTTTCAGAATTTTTTGGGCATTTTGGGGAACTTTTTTTTTTTAAGCATTTAAAAATTTTTAGGTGATTTTTGGGGATTTTTTGGGGGATTTTTTTTGGGGATTTTTTGGTAATTTTGGGGAATTTTTTTGAGAATTGAAAAAATATTTTTGGGGTATGTTTTGGAAATTTTCTGGGAATACTTTTTAGTTTGGTTTTTTTTTAACATTTTTGGGAATTTGGGGGAATTTTTTGGGAATTTTTTTGGGAAAATTTTGGAGAATTTTTTTGCATTTTTTTGGTCAATGTTTTGGGGACTTTCTGGAGGAATTTTTGGGAACTTTTGGGGGGATTTTTTGGGAACTTTTTTTTGATTTTTTTGTGATTTTTTTTCCCCCCTTTCTCCAGGCCTGGCCTTTGACTCGTGGGACCTGGAGTTCTACACTCAGCTCTTCCAGAAGGCCGGGAGGAACCCGACCTCCGTGGAGCTCTTTGACCTGGCCCAGAGCAACAGGTGAGCCCAAAAACTCCAAAATCCCAAAAAACATCAAAATCCTGCAAAATCCCAGAGAAATCCTGCAAAAATCCTGCAAAAATCCCACAAAAATTCGATAAAAATCCACAAAATCACAGAAATTCCCATCCCTGGAGCTCTGTGAGCTGGCCCAGAGCAACAGGTGAACCAAAAAATACCTAAAAAGCACCAAAAACCACCAAAATCCCAGAAAAACATCAAAATCCTGCAAAATCCCAGAGAAATCCTGCAAAAATCCCGCAAAAATCCCACAAAAATCCCGCAAAAATCCCACAAAAATCCCACAAAAATTCCGCAAAAATCCCACAAAAATCCCACAAAAATCCCACAAAAATCCTGCAAAAATCCCATAAAAATCGTGGAAATTCCCGACCTCCCTGGAGCTCTGTGAGCTGGCCCAGAGCAACAGGTGAGGCCAAAAACACCCAAAAAACACCAAAATATCAGAAAAATGTAAAAATCCTGCAAAATCCCAGAGAAATCCTGCAAAAATCCCATAAAAATCCCATAAAAATCCACAAAATCACAGAAATTCCCATCCCTGGAGCTCTGTGAGCTGGCCCAGAGCAACAGGTGAACCAAAAAATACCTAAAAAGCACCAAAAACCACCAAAATCCCAGAAAAACATCAAAATCCTGCAAAAATCCCACAAAAATCCCGCAAAAATCCCACAAAAATCCCACAAAAATCCCACAAAAATCCTGCAAAAATCCCATAAAAATCGTGGATATTCCCGACCTCCCTGGAGCTCTGTGAGCTGGCCCAGAGCAACAGGTGAGGCCAAAAACACCCAAAAAACACCAAAATCCCAGAAAAAAATCAAAATCCTGCAAAATCCCAGAGAAATCCCGCAAAAATCCCATAAAAATCCACAAAATCACCGAAATTCCCATCCCTGGAGCTCTGTGAGCTGGCCCAGAGCAACAGGTGAGGCAAAAAATATCCAAAAAACACAGAAGAACTGCAAAATCCCAGAAAAACATCAAAATCCTGCAAAATCCCAGAGAAATCCCGCAAAACTCCCACAAAAATCCCATAAAAATCCCGCAAAACTCCCACAAAAATCCCACAAAAATCCCACAAAAATCCCACAAAAATCCTGCAAAAATCCCATAAAAATCGTGGAAATTCCCGACCTCCCTGGAGCTCTGTGAGCTGGCCCAGAGCAACAGGTGAGTCCAAAAACTCCAAAATCCCAAAAAAAATCAAAATCCTGCAAAATCCCAGAGAAATCCTGCAAAAATCCCATAAAAATCCCATAAAAATCCCACAAAAATCCCGCAAAAATCCCACAAAAATCCTGCAAAAATCCCATAAAAATCGTGGAAATTCCCGACCTCCCTGGAGCTCTGTGAGCTGGCCCAGAGCAACAGGTGAGGCCAAAAACACCCAAAAAACACCAAAATCCCAGAAAAACATCAAAATCCTGCAAAATCCCAGAGAAATCCTGCAAAAATCCCATAAAAATCCACAAAATCACCGAAATTCCCATCCCTGGAGCTCTTTGACCTGGCCCAGAGCAACAGGTGAGCCCAAAAACGCCCAAAAAAACACCAAAATATCAGAAAAATTTAAAAATCCTGCAAAATCCCAGAGAAATCCTGCAAAAATCCCACAAAAATCCCATAAAAATTCGATAAAAATCCACAAAATCACAGAAATTCCCATTCCTGGAGCTCTGTGAGCTGGCCCAGAGCAACAGGTGAGGCAAAAAACACCCAAAAACCACCAAAATCTCTGAAAAATATAAAAATCCTGCAAAATCCCAGAGAAATCCTGCAAAAATCCCACAAAAATCCCATAAAAATCCCACAAAAATCCCATAAAAATCCCACAAAAATCCTGCAAAAATCCCATAAAAATCGTGGAAATTCCCGACCTCCCTGGAGCTCTGTGAGCTGGCCCAGAGCAACAGGTGAGGCCAAAAACGCCCAAAAACCACCAAAATCCCAGAAAAACATCAAAATCCTGCAAAATCCCAGAGAAATCCTGCAAAAATCCCATAAAAATCCACAAAATCACCGAAATTCCCATCCCTGGAGCTCTTTGACCTGGCCCAGAGCAACAGGTGAGCCCAAAAACGCCCAAAAAACACCAAAATATCAGAAAAATTTAAAAATCCTGCAAAATCCCAGAGAAATCCTGCAAAAATCCCACAAAAATCCCATAAAAATCCCACAAAAATCCCACAAAAATTCAATAAAAATCCACAAAATCACAGAAATTCCCATCCCTGGAGCTCTGTGAGCTGGCCCAGAGCAACAGGTGAGGCCAAAAACACCCAAAAAACACCAAAATCCCCAAATTCTGCAAAATCTTGCAAAATTCTGCAAAATCCTGGGGAAATCCCACAAAAATCCCACGAGAATCTCACAAAAATCCATTGAATCCTGCAAAACGCCACTGGTATTTTACAAAAATCCCATCAAAATCCCGCTTCCACTGAAACCCTACAAAAATCCCATAAAATCGCACAAAAATCCCATAAAACTCCCAATTTCCACAAAAATCCTACAAAAATCCCAGGAAAATCCCAAATTCTACAAAACCTCCTAAAATCCTACAAAAATTGCACAAAAATCTTCCCAAATCCCATTGAAATCCTAGAAAAATCTCCTAAAATCCCCTGTTTTCACAGAAATCCTAAAAAAATATTTTAAAATCCCATTAAAATCCCACAAAAATCCCATAAAAAACCACAAAAATCCCATAAAAAACCCCAAATCCCACAAAAATCCCTGAATTTCTGCAAAACCCCACTGAAATCCCGGGAAAATCCCACAAAAAAACCTGAAAATCCCTTAAAAATCACTTAAATCTTACAAAATACAAAAATTCCACGGAAATCCTACAAAAACCTCACAAAAATCCTGGAAAAGCAAAAAATTCTTCAAAAGTCCCACAAAAAATTCATAAAAACCCCAAGTTCCATAAAAATCTCACCGAAATCCTAAAAAAATCTCCCAAAAATTCCTGAGAAATCCCAAAAAATTCCCTAAAAATCCCCAAGAAATCCCTAAAAACTCAAAAAAATCCCCAAAATTTTTCCCCAAAATAATCCAGAAATTCCCCCTGAAAAAAATCCCAAAAAATTTTAAAAATTCCCCAAAAATCCCCCAAAAATGCCAAAAAATCCCCTCAAAAATCCCAGGAAAACTCAAAAGAATCCCCCCAGAATCAAAGAAATCTCAAAAAAATCTTCAAAATTCCCCAAAAATTCCAGAAAAATTCTCCCAAAATCCCCCAATGTCCGAGAAAATCCCGGAGAAATAAAAAAGAAATTAAAAAAAATCCCAAGAAATGCCAAAAAATCTCCTAAAAATCCCAGAAAGACTCAAAAAATCCCCCCAAAATCAAAGAAATCCCCAAAAAATGCCAAAAAATCCCCCAAAAATCCAAAAGTTCCAAAAAAATTCCCCCAAAATCTCCCAAAGTCCCAGAAAATCCCAGAAAAATGAAAAAGAAATCCAAAAATCCCAAACTTGTCACACCGATGACGTCACAGCTGTGAAACCGATGACGTCACCTCTTTCCCACAGCGAGGGCAGCCGCCATTGGTTCTTCCATGGTCACGTGACCATGGGCAGCTCACCTGTGGGCAGGTCCCAGTGATGACGTCACACTGATGACATCACACTGATGACATCATAACCTTCCCTCGCAGCGAGCACAGCCGCCATTGGTTCTTCCGCGGTCATGTGACCATGGACGGATCCTCTGTGGACGGGTCTCTGTGATGACGTCACAACAATGATGTCACACGGCGCCGCAATGATGATGTCACACCAATGACATCACTTTTGTCCCCGCATTGAGCAGAGCTGCCATTGGTTCTTACGTGGTCACGTGACCATGGATGGTTCCCCAGTGGGCGTGTCCCTGTGATGACGTCACAGTGATGATGTCACTCTGATGACGTCACTCTTGTCCCCTGCAGCGAGCACAGCTGCCATTGGTTCTTCCGGGGTCACGTGACCACGGACGGCTCGCCTGTGGTCATGTCTGTGTGATGACGTCACACTGATGATGTCACTCTTGTCCCCGCAGCGAGCGCAGTTGCCATTGGTTCTTCCGGGGTCACCTGACCATCAATGGTTCCCCTGTGGGCGGGTCCCTGTGATGACGTCACACTGATGATGTCACTCTTGTCCCCGCAGCGAGCGCAGCTGCCATTGGTTCTTCCGGGGTCACCTGACCATCAATGGTTCCCCTGTGGGCGGGTCCCTGTGATGACGTCACACTGATGACATCACACTGATGATGTCATATATTTCCCACGGCAAGCACAGCTGCCATTGGTTGTTCTGCGGTCACATGACCGTGGAATGCCTCACCTGTGGGCGGGTCTCTGTGATGATGTCACACTGATGATGTCACACTGATGACATCACGCTGATGACATCATACGTGTCCCCCACGGCGAGCAGAGCTGCCATTGGTTCTTCCGGGGTCATGTGACCATCGATGGTTCGCCCAGTGGGCGTGTCCCTGTGATGACGTCACACCGATGATGTCACTCTTGTCCCCGCAGCGAGCACAGCCGCCATTGGTTCTTCCGGGGTCACGTGACCGTGGATGGCCGCCCGGTGGGCGTGTCCCTGTTCCGCTCCCTGATGGACACGCAGAGCTCCTCCCACCCCAACAACGTCATCAAGTTCTGCGACAACAGCAGGTGCGACATCCTAGATACACCTGGGGACACCTGGGGACATGGGGACACACCTGGGGGCATCATAGACACACCTGTGACACACCTGGGGACAGGTGGGACACACCTGGGACACACCTGTGACATCATAGATACACCTGGGGACATTGGGGACACACCTGGGGGCATCATAGACACACCTGTGACACACCTGGGGACAGGTGGGACACACCTGGGACACACCTGTGACATCATAGATACACCTGGGGACATTGGGGACACACCTGGGGGCATCATAGACACACCTGTGACACACCTGGGGACATGGGGACACACCTGGGACACACCTGTGACATCATAGATACACCTGGGGACATTGGGGACACACCTGGGGGCATCATAGACACACCTGTGACACACCTGGGGACACAGGGACACACCTGGGACACACCTGGGACACACCTGTGACATCATAGATACACCTGGGGACATTGGGGACACACCTGGGGACATCATAGACACACCTGTGACACACCTGGGGACACAGGGACACACCTGGGACACATCTGTGACATCATAGATACACCTGGGGACATTGGAGACACACCTGGGGACATCATAGACACACCTGTGACACACCTGGGACACACCTGGGACACACCTGGGACACACCTGTGACATCATAGATACACCTGGGGACATTGGGGACACACCTGGGGGCATCATAGACACACCTGTGACACACCTGGGACACACCTGGGACACACCTGGGACACACCTGTGACATCATAGATACACCTGGGGACATTGGGGACACACCTGGGGACATCATAGACACACCTGTGACACACCTGGGGACACGTGTGACATCATAGATACACCTGGGGACACACGTGGGGATATGGGGACACACCTGGGACACACCTGGGGACACGCAGAGCTCCTCCCACCCCAACAACGTCATCAAGTTCTGCGACAACAGCAGGTGGGACATCCTAGATACACCTGGGGACACCTGGGGACATGGGGACACACCTGGGGGCATCATAGACACACCTGTGACACACCTGGGGACACAGGGACACACCTGGGACACACCTGTGACATCATAGATACACCTGGGGACATGGGGACACACCTGGGACACACCTGGGACACACCTGTGACATCATAGATACACCTGGGGACATGGGGACACACCTGGGGGCATCATAGACACACCTGTGACACACCTGGGGACACGGGGACACACCTGGGACACACCTGTGACATCATAGATACACCTGGGGACATGGGGACACACCTGGGGGCATCATAGACACACCTGTGACACACCTGGGGACAGGTGGGACACACCTGGGACACACCTGTGACATCATAGATACACCTGGGGACATTGGGGACACACCTGGGGACATCATAGACACACCTGTGACACACCTGGGGACACAGGGACACACCTGGGACACACCTGGGACACACCTGTGACATCATAGATACACCTGGGGACATGGGGATACACCTGGGACACACCTGGGACACACCTGGGACATCATAGATACACCTGGGGACATGGGGATACACCTGTGACACACCTGGGACACACCTGGGACACACCTGTGACACACCTGGGACACGTGTGACACACCTGAGATACCTGAGACACGCCTGGGGATATCATAGACACACCTGGGACACACCTGGGGACACCTGGGCACACCTGGGGACACCTGGGACACACCTGGGACACACCTGGGCACACCTGGGCACACCTGGGGACACCTGGGGCACACCTGGGCACACTTGGGCACACCTGGGGACACCTGGGACACACCTGGGACACACCTGGGGACACAGGGACACACCTGGGACACACCTGGGGACATCATAGACACACCTGGGACACACCTGGGGACACCTGGGCACACCTGGGGACACCTGGGACACACCTGGGACACACCTGGGCACACCTGGGACACACCTGGGGACACCTGGGGCACACCTGGGCACACTTGGGCACACCTGGGGACACCTGGGACACACCTGGGACACACCTGGGCACACCTGGGCACACCTGGGGACACCTGGGACACACCTGGGACACACCTGGGGACACAGGGACACACCTGTGACACACCTGGGGACATCATAGACACACCTGGGACACACCTGGGGACACCTGGGCACACCTGGGGACACCTGGGACACACCTGGGACACACCTGGGCACACCTGGGCACACCTGGGGACACCTGGGGCACACCTGGGCACACCTGGGGACACCTGGGCACACCTGGGGACACCTGGGACACACCTGGGACACACCTGGGCACACCTGGGCACACCTGGGGACACCTGGGACACACCTGGGACACACCTGGGCACACCTGGGCACACCTGGGGACACCTGGGACACACCTGGGACACACCTGGGGACACAGGGACACACCTGTGACACACCTGGGACACACCTGGGACACACCTGGGGACACCTGGGCACACCTGGGGACACCTGGGACACACCTGGGACACACCTGGGCACACCTGGGCACACCTGGGGACACACCTGGGACACCTGGGGGAAGTTATTTGGGGCGTATTTTTTAATTTTTGGGGTGAATTTTGCTGATTTTGGTCCCTTTCCCCCAGTGCCATCCCCGGTGTCCCCGGCTGGGATTTTGGGGTGAATTTTGGGATTTTTTTGGGGGTTTTTTTGGGAGGTTATTTGGGGTGAATTTTTGGGTTTTTTTGGTGCATTTTGGGTTGAATTTTGCCGATTTTGGTCCTTTCCCCCAGTGCCATCCCCGGTGTCCCAGGGTGGGATTTTGGGGTGAATTTTGGGATTTTTTTGGAGTGTTTTTTTTGGGAGCTATTTGGGGTGAATTTTTGGGGTTTTTTTGGATGAATTTTTGGGTTTTTTTGGGTTGAATTTTGCCGATTTTGGTCCCTTTCCTGGCAGTGCCGTCTGTGGTGGCCCAGGGTGGGATTTTATGGTGAATTTTGGGATGAATTTTGCGATTTTTTTCGAGTTTTTTTTGTTTGTTTTTGGATATTTTTTGGGTGAATTTTTGGGGTTTTTTGGTGCGTTTTGGGTTGAATTTTTCCGATTTTGGCCCCTTTACCCCCAGTGCCATCTGCGGTGTCTCAGGCTGGGATTTTGGGGTGAATTTTGGGGGATTTTTGGGTGTTATTTTTTGGGTTTTTTGGGAGGTTATTTGGGGTGTATTTATTTATTTTTGTGGTGGATTTTGGGGTGAATTTTTTGGATTTTGGGGTGAATTTTGGGGTGAATTTTGCCGATTTTGGTCCCTTTTCACCCAGTGGCATCCGCGGGGTTCCAGGGTGGGATTTTGGGGTGAATTTTGGGGTTTTTTTGGGAGGTTATTTGGGGTGAATTTTTGGGGTTTTTTGGGTGAATTTTGGGGTGAATTTTGCTGATTTTGGAGTGAATTTTGGTTTGTTTTTTGGGGGGTTTATTTGGGGTGCATTTTTTTATTTTTTTGGTGCGTTTCGGGTTGAATTTTGCCGATTTCGGTGCCTTTCCCGGCAGTGCCATCCTCGGTGTCCCAGGCTGGGATTTTGGGGTGAATTTTGGGGAAATTTTGGGTGTTATTCTTTTGGTTTTTTGGGAGGTTATTTGGGGTGTATTTATTTATTTTTTTGGTGCGTTTTGGGGTGAATTTTGCCGATTTCGGTCCCTTTCCCCCCAGCGCCATCCGCGGCGTCCCCGTGGCCGCGCTGTGGCCGCAGAGCCCGGCCGGGCCCGGCCCCTACGAGAGGAGGACGAGCGTCCGGCACGTGACCTTCACCGCCGAGACCCACAACTTCCCCACCGGTCAGTCTGGGGTCACCTGGGGTCACACAGGGGTCACGGGGTCACTCAGGGGTCACTCGGGTCATGGGGTCACTCAGGGGTCACTCAGCGTCCGGCACGTGACCTTCACCGCCGAGACGCACAACTTCCCCACCGGTCAGTCTGGGGTCACCTGGGGTCACACAGGGGTCACGGGGTCACTCAGGGGTCACTCGGGTCATGGGGTCACTCAGGGGTCACTCAGCGTCCGGCACGTGACCTTCACCGCCGAGACGCACAACTTCCCCACCGGTCAGTCTGGGGTCAGAGGTCATCGTTGGGGTCAGCCAGGGGTCAGCCAGGGGTCATTGGGAATGGTCAGTGGGAATGTCAGGGGTCAGTGGTCAATGGTCAGTGGTCAGTGGTCAATGGTCAGTGGTCAATGGTCAATGGTCAATGGTCAGTGGTCAATGGTCAGTGGTCAATGGTCAATGGTCAATGGTCAGTGGTCAGTGGTCAATGGTCATTGGTCAGTGGTCAGTGGTCAGTGGTCAGTGGTCAATGGTCAATGGTCAATGGTCAGGGGTCAATGGTCAGTGGTCAGTGGTCAGTGGTCAATGGTCAGTGGTCAGTGGTCAATGGTCAATGGTCAGGGGTCAGTGGTCAGTGGTCAATGGTCAGTGGTCAGTGGTCAATGGTCAATGGTCAGGGGTCAATGGTCAGTGGTCAGTGGTCAATGGTCAGTGGTCAGTGGTCAATGGTCAATGGTCAATGGTCAGTGGTCAATGGTCAGTGGTCAGTGGTCAATGGTCAGTGGTCAATGGTCAATGGTCAATGGTCAGTGGTCAGTGGTCAGTGGTCAGTGGTCAATGGTCAATGGTCAGTGGTCAGTGGTCAATGGTCAATGGTCAATGGTCAATGGTCAATGGTCAGTGGTCAGTGGTCAATGGTCAATGGTCAATGGTCAATGGTCAGTGGTCAATGGTCAGTGGTCAATGGTCAGTGGTCAGTGGCCAATGGTCAGTGGTCAGTGGTCAGTGGTCAGTGGTCAGTGGTCAATGGTCAGTGGTCAGTGGTCAATGGTCAATGGTCAATGGTCAGTGGTCAATGGTCAGTGGTCAGTGGTCAATGGTCAGTGGTCAATGGTCAATGGTCAGTGGTCAGTGGTCAATGGTCAGGGGTCAGTGGTCAATGGTCAGTGGTCAGTGGTCAGTGGTCAGTGGTCAATGGTCAGTGGTCAATGGTCAGTGGTCAGTGGTCAATGGTCAGTGGTCAATGGTCAGTGGTCAGTGGTCAATGGTCAGTGGTCAATGGTCAATGGTCAATGGTCAGTGGTCAGTGGTCAGTGGTCAATGGTCAATGGTCAGTGGTCAATGGTCAGTGGTCAATGGTCAATGGTCAATGGTCAATGGTCAATGGTCAGTGGTCAATGGTCAGTGGTCAGTGGTCAATGGTCAATGGTCAGTGGTCAGTGGTCAATGGTCAGGGGTCAGTGGTCAGTGGTCAGGGGTCAATGGGAATGGTCAGTGGTCAGTGGTCAGTGGTCAATGGTCAGTGGTCAATGGTCAGTGGCCAATGGTCAGTGGTCAGTGGTCAGTGGTCAATGGTCAATGGTCAATGGTCAGTGGTCTATGGTCAATGGTCAGTGGTCAGTGGTCAATGGTCAATGGTCAATGGTCAGTGGTCAATGGTCAGTGGTCAGTGGTCAATGGTCAGTGGTCAGTGGTCAGTGGTCAGTGGTCAGTGGTCAGTGGTCAATGGTCAGGGGTCAATGGTCAGTGGTCAGTGGTCAGTGGGAATGGTCAATGGTCAATGGTCAATGGTCAATGGTCAATGGTCAGTGGTCATTGGTCAGTGGTCAATGGTCAATGGTCAGTGGGATGTCAGTGGTCAGTGGTCAGTGGTCAATGGTCAGTGGGAATGGTCAGGGGTCAATGGTCAATGGTCAATGGTCAGTGGTCAATGGTCAGTGGTCAATGGTCAGTGGCCAATGGTCAGTGGTCAGTGGTCAATGGTCAGTGGTCAGTGGTCAATGGTCAGTGGTCAATGGTCAATGGTCAGGGGTCAATGGTCAATGGTCAGTGGTCAGTGGTCAGTGGTCAATGGTCAGTGGTCAATGGTCAGTGGTCAATGGTCAGGGGTCAGTGGTCAATGGTCAGTGGTCAGTGGTCAGTGGTCAGTGGTCAATGGTCAGTGGTCAATGGTCAGTGGTCAGGGGTCAATGGTCAGTGGTCAATGGTCAGGGGTCAGTGGTCAATGGTCAGTGGTCAGTGGTCAGTGGTCAGTGGTCAGTGGTCAGTGGTCAATGGTCAATGGTCAGTGGTCAATGGTCAGTGGTCAATGGTCAATGGTCAATGGTCAGTGGTCAATGGTCAATGGTCAGTGGTCATTTGTCAATGGTCAATGGTCAATGGTCAGTGGGATGTCAATGGTCAGTGGTCAATGGTCAATGGTCAATGGTCAATGGTCAGTGGTCAGTGGTCAATGGTCAGTGGTCAGTGGTCAATGGTCAATGGTCAATGGTCAGTGGTCAGTGGTCAGTGGTCAGTGGTCAATGGTCAATGGTCAGTGGTCAATGGTCAGTGGTCAGTGGTCAATGGTCAATGGTCAATGGTCAATGGTCAGTGGTCAATGGTCAGTGGTCAGTGGTCAATGGTCAATGGTCAGTGGTCAGTGGTCAATGGTCAGGGGTCAGTGGTCAGTGGTCAGTGGTCAATGGTCAATGGTCAGTGGTCAGGGGTCAATGGGAATGGTCAGTGGTCAGTGGTCAGTGGTCAATGGTCAGTGGTCAATGGTCAGTGGCCAATGGTCAGTGGTCAGTGGTCAATGGTCAATGGTCAGTGGTCAGTGGTCAGTGGTCAATGGTCAGTGGTCAGTGGTCAATGGTCAATGGTCAGTGGTCAGTGGGAATGGTCAGTGGTCAATGGTCAATGGTCAATGGTCATTGGTCAATGGTCAATGGTCAGTGGTCAATGGTCAGTGGTCAATGGTCAGGGGTCAATGGTCAGTGGTCAGTGGTCAGTGGGAATGGTCAGTGGTCAATGGTCAATGGTCAATGGTCATTGGTCAGTAGTCAATGGTCAGTGGTCAGTGGTCAGTGGGAATGGTCAGTGGTCAATGGTCAGTGGTCAGTGGTCAATGGTCAGTGGTCAGTGGTCAGTGGTCAGTGGTCAGTGGTCAATGGTCAATGGTCAATGGTCAGTGGTCAATGGTCAATGGTCAGTGGTCAGTGGTCAATGGTCAGTGGTCAGGGGTCAATGGTCAATGGTCAATGGTCAGTGGTCAATGGTCAATGGTCAGTGGTCAATGGTCAGGGGTCAATGGTCAGTGGTCAGTGGTCAGGGGTCAATGGTCAGTGGTCAATGGTCAATGGTCAATGGTCAGTGGTCAATGGTCAGTGGTCAGTGGTCAATGGTCAGTGGTCAATGGTCAGTGGTCAGTGGTCAATGGTCAATGGTCAATGGTCAGTGGTCAATGGTCAATGGTCAGTGGTCAGTGGTCAATGGTCAATGGTCAGTGGTCAGTGGTCAGTGGTCAATGGTCAGTGGGAATGGTCAGGGGTCAATGGTCAATGGTCAGTGGTCAATGGTCAATGGTCAGTGGTCAGTGGTCAATGGTCAATGGTCAATGGTCAGTGGGATGTCAATGGTCAGTGGTCAATGGTCAATGGTCAATGGTCAATGGTCAGTGGTCAGTGGTCAGTGGTCAATGGTCAGTGGTCAGTGGTCAATGGTCAGTGGTCAATGGTCAATGGTCAATGGTCAATGGTCAGTGGTCAATGGTCAGTGGTCAGTGGTCAATGGTCAGTGGTCAATGGTCAGTGGTCAATGGTCAATGGTCAGTGGTCAATGGTCAGTGGTCAATGGTCAGTGGTCAATGGTCAATGGTCAGTGGTCAATGGTCAGTGGTCAATGGTCAATGGTCAATGGTCAATGGTCAGTGGTCAATGGTCAATGGTCAGTGGTCAATGGTCAGTGGTCAATGGTCAATGGTCAATGGTCAATGGTCAGGGGTCAATGGTCAATGGTCAGTGGTCAATGGTCAGTGGTCAGTGGTCAATGGTCAGTGGTCAATGGTCAGTGGTCAGTGGTCAATGGTCAATGGTCAGTGGGATGTCAGTGGTCAGTGGTCAATGGTCAGTGGTCAATGGTCAATGGTCAGTGGTCAGTGGTCAATGGTCAATGGTCAGTGGTCAGTGGTCAGTGGTCAATGGTCAGTGGGAATGGTCAGGGGTCAATGGTCAATGGTCAGTGGTCAATGGTCAATGGTCAGTGGTCATTTGTCAATGGTCAATGGTCAATGGTCAGTGGGATGTCAATGGTCAGTGGTCAATGGTCAATGGTCAATGGTCAATGGTCAGTGGTCAGTGGTCAATGGTCAGTGGTCACTGGTCAATGGGAATGGTCAGTGGTCAATGGTCAATGGTCAATGGTCAGTGGTCAATGGTCAATGGTCAGTGGTCAGGGGTCAGTGGTCAATGGTCAGTGGTCAGTGGTCAGGGGTCAGTGGTCAATGGTCAGTGGTCAATGGTCAGTGGTCAGTGGTCAATGGTCAGTGGTCAGTGGTCAATGGTCAGTGGTCAATGGTCAATGGTCAGGGGTCAATGGTCAATGGTCAGTGGTCAGTGGTCAGTGGTCAATGGTCAGTGGTCAATGGTCAGTGGTCAATGGTCAGGGGTCAGTGGTCAATGGTCAGTGGTCAGTGGTCAGTGGTCAGTGGTCAATGGTCAGTGGTCAATGGTCAGTGGTCAGGGGTCAATGGTCAGTGGTCAATGGTCAGGGGTCAGTGGTCAATGGTCAGTGGTCAGTGGTCAGTGGTCAGTGGTCAGTGGTCAGTGGTCAATGGTCAATGGTCAGTGGTCAATGGTCAGTGGTCAATGGTCAATGGTCAATGGTCAGTGGTCAATGGTCAATGGTCAGTGGTCATTTGTCAATGGTCAATGGTCAATGGTCAGTGGGATGTCAATGGTCAGTGGTCAATGGTCAATGGTCAATGGTCAATGGTCAGTGGTCAGTGGTCAATGGTCAGTGGTCAGTGGTCAATGGTCAATGGTCAATGGTCAGTGGTCAGTGGTCAGTGGTCAGTGGTCAATGGTCAATGGTCAGTGGTCAATGGTCAGTGGTCAGTGGTCAATGGTCAATGGTCAATGGTCAATGGTCAGTGGTCAATGGTCAGTGGTCAGTGGTCAATGGTCAATGGTCAGTGGTCAGTGGTCAATGGTCAGGGGTCAGTGGTCAGTGGTCAGTGGTCAATGGTCAATGGTCAGTGGTCAGGGGTCAATGGGAATGGTCAGTGGTCAGTGGTCAGTGGTCAATGGTCAGTGGTCAATGGTCAGTGGCCAATGGTCAGTGGTCAGTGGTCAATGGTCAATGGTCAGTGGTCAGTGGTCAGTGGTCAATGGTCAGTGGTCAGTGGTCAATGGTCAATGGTCAGTGGTCAGTGGGAATGGTCAGTGGTCAATGGTCAATGGTCAATGGTCATTGGTCAATGGTCAATGGTCAGTGGTCAATGGTCAGTGGTCAATGGTCAGGGGTCAATGGTCAGTGGTCAGTGGTCAGTGGGAATGGTCAGTGGTCAATGGTCAATGGTCAATGGTCATTGGTCAGTAGTCAATGGTCAGTGGTCAGTGGTCAGTGGGAATGGTCAGTGGTCAATGGTCAGTGGTCAGTGGTCAATGGTCAGTGGTCAGTGGTCAGTGGTCAGTGGTCAGTGGTCAATGGTCAATGGTCAATGGTCAGTGGTCAATGGTCAATGGTCAGTGGTCAGTGGTCAATGGTCAGTGGTCAGGGGTCAATGGTCAATGGTCAATGGTCAGTGGTCAATGGTCAATGGTCAGTGGTCAATGGTCAGGGGTCAATGGTCAGTGGTCAGTGGTCAGGGGTCAATGGTCAGTGGTCAATGGTCAATGGTCAATGGTCAGTGGTCAATGGTCAGTGGTCAGTGGTCAATGGTCAGTGGTCAATGGTCAGTGGTCAGTGGTCAATGGTCAATGGTCAATGGTCAGTGGTCAATGGTCAATGGTCAGTGGTCAGTGGTCAATGGTCAATGGTCAGTGGTCAGTGGTCAGTGGTCAATGGTCAGTGGGAATGGTCAGGGGTCAATGGTCAATGGTCAGTGGTCAATGGTCAATGGTCAGTGGTCAGTGGTCAATGGTCAATGGTCAATGGTCAGTGGGATGTCAATGGTCAGTGGTCAATGGTCAATGGTCAATGGTCAATGGTCAGTGGTCAGTGGTCAGTGGTCAATGGTCAGTGGTCAGTGGTCAATGGTCAGTGGTCAATGGTCAATGGTCAATGGTCAATGGTCAGTGGTCAATGGTCAGTGGTCAGTGGTCAATGGTCAGTGGTCAATGGTCAGTGGTCAATGGTCAATGGTCAGTGGTCAATGGTCAGTGGTCAATGGTCAGTGGTCAATGGTCAATGGTCAGTGGTCAATGGTCAGTGGTCAATGGTCAATGGTCAATGGTCAATGGTCAGTGGTCAATGGTCAATGGTCAGTGGTCAATGGTCAGTGGTCAATGGTCAATGGTCAATGGTCAATGGTCAGGGGTCAATGGTCAATGGTCAGTGGTCAATGGTCAGTGGTCAGTGGTCAATGGTCAGTGGTCAATGGTCAGTGGTCAGTGGTCAATGGTCAATGGTCAGTGGGATGTCAGTGGTCAGTGGTCAATGGTCAGTGGTCAATGGTCAATGGTCAGTGGTCAGTGGTCAATGGTCAATGGTCAGTGGTCAGTGGTCAGTGGTCAATGGTCAGTGGGAATGGTCAGGGGTCAATGGTCAATGGTCAGTGGTCAATGGTCAATGGTCAGTGGTCATTTGTCAATGGTCAATGGTCAATGGTCAGTGGGATGTCAATGGTCAGTGGTCAATGGTCAATGGTCAATGGTCAATGGTCAGTGGTCAGTGGTCAATGGTCAGTGGTCACTGGTCAATGGGAATGGTCAGTGGTCAATGGTCAATGGTCAATGGTCAGTGGTCAATGGTCAATGGTCAGTGGTCAATGGTCAATGGTCAGTGGTCAGTGGTCAATGGTCAATGGTCAATGGTCAGTGGTCAGTGGTCAGGGGTCAATGGGAATGGTCAGTGGTCAGGGGTCATTGGGTCATTCAGGGGTCATTGGGTCACCCAGGGGTCAGAGGTCACTCAGGGGTCACTCAGGGCTCAGACTCGCCGCGTCCCCACCGCGCACTCAGGGGTCAAAGGTCCCGGTGCAGTGGGCGTGGCCATGCAAGGTGGGCGTGGCCATCCATGGTGGGCGTGGCCATGCGTGGTGGGCGTGTCCAGCCAAAGTGGGCGTGTCCGTTCATGATGGGCGTGTCCACCCACTTGCCTGACCTGTGATTTTTATTGTTTTTTGTTGTTTTTTTTTTGTTGTTTTTTTTTTTTTGTTGCTTTCGCTGTTTTTGTTTTTTTCTGTTGATTTCTGCTGGGTTTGTTTTGGTTTTGGCTGTTTTTTGTTGTTTTTTTCATTGTTTTTTTGTGGCTCTTTAATGCTTTTTTTGTGGTTTTTTGGGTTTTTTTGGTTATTGTTATTTGTTTGTTTTTTGTAGGTTTTTGTTTTTGTCTTTTTTGTTGTTTGTTGTTTTGTTGTTTGGTTTTTTTGCTGGTTTTTCTTTTTTGTTTTAATTGGGTTTTTTTGGTTGGTTTTGTCGTTTCTTGTTGTTATTTGTTTTTTTTTTCTTGAGTTTTTTGTTGTTTTTTTGTTGCTTTTTGCTGCTTTTGGTTGTTTTTTTTGCCGTTTTTGGTTGTTTCTCGTGGTTTTTTGTTTTTTCTTTGTTGATTTTTGGTCATTTTTCGCCATTTTCTCTGCATTTGGCAGCCGTGGCGTTTTGAGGTGTTTTGTTGTTTTTTTTGCTGTTTTCGTCGTTTTTTGGGTGGGTTTTTGTGTTTTTTTTTTTGTTGTGTTTTGTTTTTCGTTTTTGTTTTAACTGTTTTTTGTTAGTTTTCTTGTCTTTTTTGCTGTTACTTGGTTTTTTTTTGCTGCTTCTTCGTTGTTCTTTTGGGGTTTTTTTGCTGCTTTTCGCCGCTTTTCGCTGCTTTTCGTTGTTTTTTGTTGGTTTTTTCCCCGTTTTTCGCTGATTTTGGCCGTTTTCTGTGCGTTTGGCAGCCGTGGCCCCGTTCAGCGGCGCCACCACCGGCACCGGGGGCCGGATCCGGGACGTGCAGAGCACGGGGAGGGGAGCGCACGTCATCGCGGGCACGGCGGGGTACTGCTTCGGGAACCTGCTCATTCCCGGTGAGAGACACAAAACAGCCCAAAAACGACCCAAAATTCGGGCTCAGCACCCCTGAAAACCCCAAAATCCCACCCAGAAACCCCAAAAACCCCAAACCCACCCCAAAACCCCGGTACTGCTTCGGGAACCTGCTCATTCCCGGTGAGAAATGTCTAAAATATCCTAAATTACCCTAAAATCAAAAAAAATCCCAACAAAATGCGTGAAATTTGGAGTCAGGAGCCTTAAAAACCCCAAATCCACCCCCAAACCCCGGTGCTGCTTCGGGAACCTGCTCATTCCCGGTGAGAGACACAAAACAGCCCAAAAACGACCCAAAATTCGGGCTCAGCGCCCCTGAAAACCCCAAAATCCACCCCAGAAACCCCTAAAAACACCAAAATCCACAAAAAATCCCCAAAACACCCCAAAATCCCGCCAAAAATCTCCAAAAATCCCCCAAAAAACTCCAGAAATCCCCCAAAAAATCCCCCAAAAAAACCCAAAATTTGAGATTGGCAGCCCCCAAAACCCCAAAATCCCACCCAGAAACCCCAAAAATGCCCCAAACAACCCCTAAATCCCCAAAATCCACCCCAAACCCCTGGTGCTGCTTCGGGATCCTGCTCATACCCGGTGAGAGACACGGAAAAACACAAAAATGACCCAAAATTCGGGTTCAGCACCCCCGAAAACCCCAAATCCACCCCAGAAACCCCCAAAACCAAAAAGATCCCACCCAGAAACCCCAAAACCCCAAAATCTCCCCAAAAACCCAAAATACCTCAAAATCCCACCCAGAAACCCCAGAAACCTCAAAATCCACCTCAAAAACCCCAAAATCCACCCCAGAAACCCCAAAATCCACCCCAGAAACCCCAAAACCCCACCCAGAAACCCCAAAAAACACCAAAATCCACAAAAAAGCCCCAAAACACCCCAAAATCCCCCCAAAAATCTCCAAAAATCCCCCAAAAAACTCCAGAAATCCCCCAAAAAATCCCCCAAAAAACCCCCCAAAATCCCCTAAAATCCCCCCAAAAATCTCCAAAAATCCCCCAAAAAACCCCGAAAAATCCCCCAAAATCCCCCAAAAAACCCAAAATTTGAGATTGGCAGCCCAAAAACCCCAAAATCCCACCCAGACCCCCAAAAACCCCAAATCCACCCCAAAAACCCCAAATCCACCCCAAACCCCGGTGCTGCTTTGGGATCCTGCTCATACCCGGTGAGAGACACGGAAAAACACAAAAACGACCCAAAATTCGGGTTCAGCACCCCCGAAAACCCCAAATCCACCCCAGAAACCCCAAAAACCAAAAAGATCCCACTCGGAAACCCCAAAAACCCCAAAATCTCCCCAAGAACCCAAAATACCTCAAAATCCCACCCAGAAACCCCAGAAACCCCAAAATCCACCTCAAAAACCCCAAAATCCACCTCAGAAACCCCAAAATCCACCTCAGAAACCTCAAAACCCCACCCAGAAACCCCAAAAAACACCAAAATCCACAAAAAAGCCCCAAAACACCCCAAAATCCCGCCAAAAATCTCCAAAAATCCCCCAAAAAACTCCAGAAATCCCCCAAAAAATCCCACAAAAAACCCCCCAAAATCCCCTAAAATCCCCCAAAAATCTCCCAAAATCCCCCAAAAAACCCCAAAATTTGAGATTGGCAGCCCAAAAACCCCAAAATCCCACCCAGACCCCCAAAAACCCCAAATCCACCCCAAAAACCCCAAATCCACCCCAAACCCCGGTGCTGCTTCGGGAACCTGCTCATACCCGGTGAGAGACACGGAAAAGCACAAAAATGACCCAAAATTCGGGTTCAGCACCCCCAAAAACCCCAAATCCACCCCAGAAACCCCCAAAACCAAAAAGATCCCACCCAGAAACCCCAAAAACCCCAAAATCTCCCCAAAAACCCAAAATACCTCAAAATCCCACCCAGAAACCCCAGAAACCTCAAAATCCACCTCAAAAACCCCAAAATCCACCCAAAACCCCAAAATCCACCTCAGAAACCCCAAAATCCCACCCAGAAACCCCAAAAAACACCAAAATCCACAAAAAATCCCCAAAACACCCCAAAATCCCCCCAAAAATCTCCAAAAATCCCCCAAAAATCTCCAAAAATCCCCCAAAAAACTCCAGAAATCCCCCAAAAAATCCCACAAAAAACCCAAAATTTGAGATTGGCAGCCCAAAAACCCCAAAATCCCACCCAGAAACCCCAAAAAACACCAAAATCCACCAAAATCCCCAAAACACCCCAAAATCCCCCCAAAAATCTCCAAAAATCCCCCAAAAAACTCCATAAATCCCCCAAAAAATCCCACAAAAAACCCCCCAAAATCCCCTAAAATCCCACCAAAAATCTCCAAAAATCCCCCAAAAAACCCCGAAAAATCCCCCAAAAAAACCCAAAATTTGAGATTGGCAGCCCAAAAACCCCAAAATCCCACCCAGACCCCCAAAAACCCCAAATCCACCCCAGAAACCCCCAAAACCAAAAAGATCCCACCCAGAAACCCCAAAAACCAAAAAGATCCCACCCAGAAACCCCAAAAACCCCAAAATCTCCCCAAAAACCCAAAATACCTCAAAATCCCACCCAGAAACCCCAGAAACCCCAAAATCCACCTCAGAAACCCCAAAATCCACCCCAGAAACCCCAAAAAACACCAAAATCCACAAAAAATCCCCAAAACACCCCAAAATCCCCCCAAAAATCTCCAAAAATCCCCCAAAAATCTCCAAAAATCCCCCAAAAAATCCCCCAAAAAACCCCCCAAAATCCCCTAAAATCCCACCAAAAATCTCCAAAAATCCCCAAAAAACCCCGAAAAATCCCCCAAAATCCCCCAAAAAACCCAAAATTTGAGATTGGCAGCCCAAAAACCCCAAAATCCCACCCAGACCCCCAAAAACCCCAAATCCACCCCAAAAACCCCAAATCCACCCCAAACCCCGGTGCTGCTTTGGGATCCTGCTCGTACCCGGTGAGAGACACGGAAAAACACAAAAATGACCCAAAATTCGGGTTCAGCACCCCCAAAAACCCCAAATCCACCCCAGAAACCCCCAAAACCAAAAAGATCCCACCCAGAAACCCCAAAAACCAAAAAGATCCCACTCGGAAACCCCAAAAACCCCAAAATCTCCCCAAAAACCCAAAATACCTCAAAATCCCACCCAGAAACCCCAGAAACCTCAAAATCCACCTCAGAAACCCCAAAATCCACCTCAGAAACCCCAAAATCCCACCCAGAAACCCCAAAACCCCACCCAGAAACCCCAAAAAACACCAAAATCCCACCAAAAATCCCCAAAACACCCCAAAATCCCCCAAAAATCTCCAAAAATCCCCCAAAAAACTCCAGAAATCCCCAAAAAATCCCCCAAAAAACCCCCCAAAATCCCCCAAAATCCCACCAAAAATCTCCAAAAATCCCCCAAAAAACCCCGAAAAATCCCCCCAAAATCCCCCAAAAAACCCAAAATTTGAGATTGGCAGCCCAAAAACCCCAAAATCCCACCCAGACCCCCAAAAACCCCAAATCCACCCCAAAAACCCCAAATCCACCCCAAACCCCGGTGCTGCTTCGGGATCCTGCTCGTACCTGAAACTCCCCCAAGAATTTGTGAAAAATCTCCAAAAAAATGCCCAAAAATTCCCCCAAAAGCCTCCAAAGTTGGGGTTTTTTGCTCCATTTTTTTTTGTTTTTTTTCTATTTTTTTTGTTTTTTCCCAATTTTGGATGATTTTCCCCCAATCCAGGCTCTGAGCAGCCGTGGGCGGATCCCCTCTCCCCGTACCCCTCAAAAACCCCCCAAAAATTTCCCCCGGATCTCATCGAAAAAATGCTCAAAAATGCCCCAAAAAAACCCCCAAAAATTTCCCCCAAAATTTGTGAAAATCCCCCAAAAAATCCCCCAAAAATCACCAAAAACTCTTCCAAAAATCCTCAAAAATTCCAAAAAAAACCCCCCAAAAAATTTGTGAAAAATCCCCCCAAAAATTGTGAAAAATCCCCCAAAAAATTGTGAAAAATCCCCCAAAAATGCCCTTAAATCCCCCGAAACTCCTACAAAAAATCTCTAAAAATTCCACAAAAAATTGTGAAAAATTCCTGAAAATTCCCAAAAAATGCAAATTTTGGGGTTTTTTTTCCCCCAAATTTCTGGTTTTGCCCAAAATTCCCATTTTTTCCCCCAATTTAGGCTACGAGCAGCCTTGGGAGGATCCTGTACCCCCCAAAAAAATCCTGAAAATCCCCATTTTTTGAGCTTTTTTCCCCGTTTTTTCGCGTTTTTTTCCCCAAATTTTCATCTTTTTTCCCCGTTTTTTTTTCTTTTTTTCCCCAATTTCCGTTTTTTCCCATTTTTATGGTTTTTCCCCCGTTCCAGGCTACGAGCAGCCGTGGGAGGATCTCTTAAAACCCCCCAAAATTGAGATTTTCTCTCCCATTTTTTGAGCTTTTCTCCCCATTTTTTCGCGTTTTTTCCCCAAATTTTTGTCTTTTTTCCCCGTTTTTTTTTTGGTTTTTTCCCCAATTTCCATTTTTTCCCATTTTTATGGTTTTTTCCCCCGTTTCAGGCTCTGAGCAGCCGTGGGAGGATCCCCTCTCCCCGTACCCCCCAAAAACCCTTCAAGAATTTCTGAAAAATCCCCAAAATTTGTGAGAAAATCCCCAGAAATCCCCCAAAAATTCCCCCAAAATTTCCCCAAAAATTCCCCCAAAATCCTCAAAATTTTTGTGAAAAATCTCCAAAAATGCCAAAAAATTCCCCAAATTCTTCCCAAATTCTTCCCAAAATCCCCCCAAATTTGGGGTTTTCTTCCCCATTTTTGGGGTTTTCTCGCCCATTTTTTGAGCTTTTTTCGCCAAATTTTCGTCTTTTTTCCCCGTTTTTTTTTTGTTTTTTTCCCCAATTCCCGTTTTTTCCCATTTTTATGTTTTTTGCCCCGTTCCAGGCTACGAGCAGCCGTGGGAGGATCCCCTCTCCCCGTACCCCTCGTCCTTCGCCCGGCCCCTGGAGGTCGCGATCGGCGCCAGCGACGGCGCCTCCGACTACGGCAACAAATTCGGGGAGCCCCTGCTGGCAGGTGGGGACACTTGGGGACAGCTTGGGACGTTCGGGGGGTTCGGGACAATTTTGGGTCAGTTTGGGGACAATTCGGGACAATTTTGGGGAGTTCTTGGGATGTTTTGGGGCATTTTTTGGGAGGTTTTGGGGACATTTTAGGGACACTTTGGGGACATTTGGGGACCATTTTGGGACAGTTTGGGGACAATTTTGGGACATCTGGGGACACTTTGGGGACAATTTGGGACAATTTTGGGATAATCTGGGACAATTTGGGGCAATTTTTGGGGGTTTGGGCCACGGTTTTGGGGCCATTTTG